ATATTAATGTTAAGCCTAGCTAGCGACATGTAGCAAGCACATTCCACACATTAGCCATACATTTCCCGTGACCGCCATTATCAAGCAGGTCACGGGGGCTTAATTTTGCTTCATTCCAGATAAGTTCACTGTTCATTTTAGCCAACCAGTTTATCTTGTCTATTCTTTTATTTCCATTTCTCATAAAGATACTAATTGCGGATGCCAACGTTCGAGTATTTTCACCATAATAGAACTTGATGTATCACCTTATCGTTTCAATCCGCTAAGTTTTGTACTGTGTTTGCCACATGTCGCTAGCTTAAACAATAATATAGTTTTGTAGCGAAATCATCTACATCACTCCCAACTTCAAAAATGTATTAAGGAGTAAATATGTACGATTAATTATTATATCGAGCAGAGCCATGAATGAGTCTTCCCCTTCGGGTCGATAAAACAGTAATCTTATTTATAGTCGTTTGATAAGAAAATGATGCTTGTGCACGGGCCACAGAAGCGGGCGCATCTAAAGGGATCTGAGGTTTACTAGCACTCTAGGTCTCAGCTGGAAGTGATGCCGCATAAGATGGTCTATTGATTGCCACGGGATTTAAAGAATTTTCGACTGGCGTAGTAATCAGTATGCATTTCGGGTTATAATAATAATAATATAGCGGTTTCAGCGTTTATTAGGCCGTAGGCCTATCGCCGATTCTTAACATTGCAAAAACTCCACAGCATGTTGAGGGCTTAAACTCACAACTCACTGCTTCAAATTTCTTAGCTTAACCGCCCGGCCTCCTTGCCGATTTTGACCAGAAACTGGCGCACAGAGCTGGGATCGAACCCGCGTCTATCTGCGTCAATCTTGATACTCTGACCTTAATCGCCGGGCCATCCTGCCCAAGCAAGGTGGCCCAATCATTTGATTGGGATAAAAATTAAATTTAAGAGTACCGGAGTAAGAGTAACTCAAATGGTGAAAAGAAGAGCAACAAAGAGCTGTGGTGGTGCAGTGGTGAGAGACTCAGTCTCTCGCACCCAGCTCCCGGGTTCGAGTCCCACTGAGGACAAGTTCTTCCGGGAAGCTCAGCTCATGGTCAACTCAGCCATTCATCCAACTCTGGTTGATAAATGAGTACCTGGCTTGTCCAGGGTGTTGTGTAATGCAATAAAGTGGTTCTGGCGGGTCAGCGAGCTAGTGATGGTCGTAGAACTACCAGTGGCATTAGTGCCCGGAAAAACTGTCCTATCACGCCCCCCCCCCTAATCGCCACTACCAGGATGGGCAACTACAACAACACAAGGGCAACAAAGAGAGTAAAGGATTCCATTAAATAGTAACTATTCATTGTATAAACGTATGCATCCGAAAACAAGCTGAAATTTAAAATTCCTTACAATCTGAACTCGAGCATGGTGTTGACATAACTTAATGTACAAAAAGACTCTGACATATATATTGATATAATAATAATATTAATAAAAATAATAATAATAATAATAATAATAATAATATTAATACTAATAATAATAATAATAGAATGATACTAAATGATAATGAAATGATAAAAAATGATCATAACATGAAAATAAAACAATAATGAAATGATAATAAACTGATAATAAAATGAAATAAAATGATAAAAAATTATAATAAAATGATAATAAAATGACAATAAAATGATATAAAATGATACACTTGAAAGTTGATGACGTACACACATCTTTGTAGTGATTTCCAGCGCAGAGCAGGCAGCGTATAGGAGCGGTACATCCACTTGCAAGATGTTGAGGTCGCTGGCATCTGTAGCATCTAAGGGGTGGTGGATTATAGGGTCTCACTCTGTATGAGATGAAACCAAAAATTATTTTTTCAGGTAGCTGGTTACCTTCAAAGTCTAACTTCAAGACCAGGGAATCTTGTTTTGATGCTCCTGAGAATTTTGATAGTCTGGTGATCTTAACAATTTTGCAAGCTTGTCTTTGCATGCTCAATAAGTCATCTAGGTCATTTCCATGTCTGACTGGACCAATGACCCCAGAGCAGATGTTTCCCATGTCGGATGATGGTTTGTAGCATTCAATTTGCCATTTACCAAGTTTAGAGGTAGAAAGCAAGGTTTTAATTGCTGCCTCTTCATTTGCTTTGAATTCAACTGCTACAATGTTTCGTCTTTTATTTATGCGCACATCTTTGATTGGGACATTTGCTCTGAGGATGTTAACATTTTCCCGCCAGACCTAGTGTTTTGCGGAAATCTGGCGCGCAATAGTATGATGTTACTATTTCAACCATCTACGCATGCATGGAACTAAGACAAAGCTTAATATAAAGGAAAAGTTGAGAAGTATGGGAATTACCCATGATGTCGGAATATGGTGCATTTACCCTATAAGTAGAATAGGTAGTATCATTAAGTACCAAGGCAGCTTTATCACAACCTGGAAGTTGATTGAAATAAGAAGTGGACGCAAAAATTAGAAATTAATCAATTCTAAAAAATCTCTGTTTTGCCACTATGCATATGATGTATAAAATGCCACAATGTTTTTCTGTGACTGTGACCAGGGTGGAATTATAGTATCAAAATCAAATCAAATTGTAATCAGTTTCATTCCAATAATTAACTATCTAGTTGGGTAAAGTCTTACTTTTTTGAAAATTTTGATGCTCTATCCTTTAATTTCAGTAGGTATAAAATCTTGCAGCTCTAATGTCATGTATTTTTGTTTGATTGAACAAATCAGTTTGTACTTTGCAAAAATGTCATTTCATACAATTTTTCAACTTCTGCAGTACTTCAACGCTCCCAATGTCATGATAACAAGTAGAGCCTATGAATCAAGTGCTTAGTCATTTTTATTTGTTTGTGATCCTTCCTCATATCCTTATATATTTTTTACTTGCTATCGCAAATCGCAATCATTACATAGTTGCAGTCACGTCAGAGTGGTCAGACTGCATTATCACATGTTCAGTTGCCACTTGCCACTAAAGTAAAGACCAATGTATTGTTGCTGTTTCTAGGGTAAATTAGAGATTTGGGGTAACACATTTACAGGACTTTGTAAATGAGTTTGCTGCTTGTAAATGGCTCTTCATGGCCAATGATGGCCGAGATATTAAATTCACGGCTCAAAGAAATGAAATCGTGGCTTGCAAATCCATAAAACCATGGCTTGAAAAATCCAGTCATGGTTCAGAGAATAGATATTTTCCTCATAAGTTCACTATTGCCTGCATGGTGCCGCCATTTCAAAGTAAATATAAAAGAATCTGATTTCACTGAAACTATAAGCCATGATCTAGGAGCATTTTCATGTCTGATATTTGAATGCCTTCAACCATGGATGCAATATATCTTTTTGAGTAATGCAATATATATTTTTTCATGCCATTTATTGAGCCTTGAGAATTTTGATATACAAATTCCTTCCTCAAATTTTTAGCAAAAGTGCTTGATCAATTATTGTTCACAGTGAACTGTACTTTTCAAAATGTAATATATATA